ATATATATAAACCCTCTTATTGGAGTCTAAGATGGAGAAGAAGTCCCAAAATCCGGATAAAACGAAAAAATCGCGATCAGATTACTGTTGCAGCGCCTAGCGCTCAGGCGCTATGTGCCTAGCGCTTGGGATCTAGGTTTCTGGTAAACATTGCAAAACATGTTTTTTGCCATCCAAGAGTTCTCTTTCAAGCCAAACTCCGAAATATTATTGAAATTTAATCTTCACAACTTAGGACTCTTCAAACCCAAGTATCTTAGACTTCGTTCAATTAACCAAATCCCAAATAACATTGAATCCAATCAACCAAATACAAAATTACATGGAATTTGGATCACACCACAACAATATCATTAAAAAAAAATGGATATATGATGCCATTTAAGGCCTTGTTTGTTTCTGATTAAAATCAAATTTTAATTTAAGTCAAAATCAAACAATCAATATTAACCACATCTTTCATGGATCCCACAACTTTTCAACCACACATTTCAAAAACTTACAATTTACTAAAAATCTAATTTTAATCCACACCAAACACCCTTTAAAAGTAAAACAGCTAATTTAAGAAAGAACAGATCTTATGAGTTCAAACATGGTCGGACGTTGATATAAGCATTATATTTGTAGTCTCCAATAAATCTAGGGACCTAAGCATACAAACTATAATTTCCCACTCGAACACCCTTAATCATGAAGTACCCCATGTCATCAGCTTGTGTCCAGAATTGATAGCCCCGTGGAAACAGAAAGGAAATAACAAGAATCATTAAGAAAGCTAAACCTCATAAGCTAGTCCATTCTAAATGAAAATATATGAATCAAGAATTAAAACCTTATTTTCTCTTTACCATGAACCAGTGTCTCCAGAAATAGCCAATCCAATATAAGCATATCTTGGACTTATAAGCCTTCGATTGATATAACTGGAACAATATACTTAAGTTTTAAAATTTTCCATTTGTTTCATTTACCATTCATTTGATCTGAGTATTGAAGTCATATTTGCACAATAAAAGTGACAGTACGACACAAGTTATTGCACTCATGCCTTTGTAGTTAATATACGAAAAAAACTAAATGATTTTTTTTTAGCTAATTTTACTTTATTTATTTGAATATTGATATCAGAACATAGTAGAAGGATATACCTGTTACGGTCTCACGGACCGCAGCTTTACTTAAACCCCGTGACCCTATCGCAGCCGCAGTTCCCCAACTTTGGCCACACATTGTAAATATTTCATTGTAAATATTTTATTTAATTTCACCAGCTCTGATACCAACTTTCACGGTGTCCCTTTCTGTGTTAAGAAGAAAAGT